CTGCTATGCTGTGCTATGATGCGCTGTGCTATGCTGTGCTGTGCTGTGCTGCGCTATGCTATGCTATGCTATGCTATGCTGCGCTATGCTATGCTATGCTATGCTGGGCTATGCTATGATATGCTGTGCTGCGCTATGCTATGCTACGCTATGCTATGCTCTGCTGTGCTCTGCTATGCTAAAGCTCAGCGAAGCTAAGATGAAGGTATGCTAAGCTAAGCTAAGATAAACCTGAGCTAAGATGAAGCTAAGCTAAGCTAAGATTGAAATAAGCTAAGCTAAGATGAGATAAGCAACGCTAAGCTAAGGGGGACGTAACTGGGGGAACCGCGGGGGGGATGCCGGGGGAACCGCCGGGGCGGGGAACACTGCCCGGCCCCTCTATGCTCTAGGGTAAGAACCCTTCTAGGCAGAGCCTAGGTAGGGAATCATCATCGTCATCGTCATCGTCAAACCCCCCTCCTCCTCCTCATCCTCCTCCTCCATATCCTCCTCCATCTCATCCTCCTCCTCCTCCTCCTCCTCCTCCTCCTCCTCCTCCTCCTCCTCCTCCTCCTCCTCCTCTCCTCTTCAGCATCATCGCCATCATCTGATCATCGCCATCAGCAGAAGCATCATCATCATCATCATCATCAGCATCATCATCACCACTATCATCACCAGCGCCATCGTCAACATCATCATCATCAGGAGTATCAGCATCGTCATCATCAGCATCAGTTTCTTCATCATCAGCATCATCATCATCATAATTAGCAGCATCAGCATCACCATCATCATCATCATCATCATCATCATCATGATCATCACCATCATCATCATCAGCATCATCGTCATCAGCATCATCATCGTCGTCATCTGCGTCATCAGCAGCAGCATCATTGTCAGCATCATCAGCATGATAGTCAGCATCATCATCACCAGCATCATCATGATCATCATCACAATCACCATCCTCATCATCATCTGCAGCATCCTCATCGTCATCCTCACCATCCTCAGCAACATCATCCCCATCACCATCGCCATCACCATCACTCCCACATAGTCATGATCATCACCATCAAAAACAACAGCAACAACAACAGCATCATCATCGTCATCGCCGTCAGCGTTATCATCGTCATCATCATAATCGCCAGCATCACCATCATCGTCATCTTCATTGCCATCGCCATTATCATCGTCGTCATCTTCAGCAGCAGTATCATAATCATCAGTATCGTTAGCATCCTCCTGATGTCCCTAGAATCCTTCTAAATATCCTCATCATGACCATCATTAGCATAATTGTAATTCCCTACCTAGGCTCTGCCTAGAAGAGTTCTTACTCTATGGGCTTAAAGGGGCCGGGCAGTGGAAATCGCCCAGGGCGGTTCCCCCGGCATCCACCCCGCGGTTCCCCCGGTTACGTCCCCTTAGCTTAGCGTTGCTTATCTCGTCTTAGCTTAGCTTATTTCATCTTAGCTTAGCTTAGCTTCATCTTAGCTCAGGTTTATCTTAGTTTAGCTTACCTTCATCTTAGCTTCGCTGAGCTTTGGCATAGCAGAGCACAGCAGAGCATAGCATAGCGTAGCATAGCATAGCGCTGCACAGCATATCATAGCATAGCCCAGCATAGCATAGCATAGCGCAGCATAGCATAGCATAGCGCAGCACAGCACAGCACAGCATAGCACAGCGCAGCATAGCATAGCATAGCAGAGCATAGCATAGCATACCGCTCCTACTAATGTTGCTTTCCTAGAGGTTCCAACTCCTAGGTAGGGTAACACAGGGATAACTTTTAATCATCATCATCATCAGCTGAGGCATCAGCATCATAATCATCAGTACCATTGTAATCATCCTCCCGACCGTCCTTACCATCCTCTTCAATAGCATCATGATGATCACTGTCATCAACACCATCGTCAGCGTCATCATCGTCATCGTCATACTCATCGTCATCATCAGTATCATCATCATCAGCGCCATCATCATCATCATCATCATCATCATCATCATCATCATCATCAACATCATCGTCGTCGTGTCCATCGTCGCCGTCTTTATCCTCATCATCATCACCATCGTCAGCACCATTATCATCATCGTCGTCGTCGTGACCACCATCATCATAGTACCCCTCCTCCTCTCATCATCACCTCATCATCACCATCATCATTACAATCATCATCATCATCATCATCATCATCATCATCATCATCATCATCATCATCATCATCATCAGCATCACCATCATCAGCATCATCATCAGCATCATCATCCCGTCCTTTCTTCCACCTTATTCATACGATGGCGGCGACGATCACGACGACGACAGGCAGCCGGCGGTAAATCATCAACCTTTTTACGGGCGGCGGCGACGGCGACAGCGGCGGCGGCGGCCCGCTCGGCGCCCCGCGCAGCAACGTCGTTCGCGCAGAGCGCGACGAGGTCGACCCCCAGGCTGTCGAAGTGCTTGGCGTGTGCCGCCAAGCGTAGCTTGGTGCCCACCTCGGCGGTGCTTCCTCCATGCCAAACAGCCCTCCCTCTTCTCCCTGCCTTGTCCTCCCTGCCTCGTCTCTCGCCCCTCCGCCTCGTCCTCCCTGCCTCATGGCCTCCCTCTCCTTCCTGGCCCGTCTCCTCTTTGCATCATTACCATGCCAAGTAGTCCTCCCTGCCTCATCTCCTCCCTGCCTCATCTCCCTGTCTCGTCTCTCATCCCTCCATAATGGTCCTCGCCTCGCCCTCCCCGTGCGCCGCCTCGCCCACTCCTCATCCCGCATCGCTCTCCCCGCACCCCGTCCCCCTCTCCCGCGCCCGCCCTCGCTCCCAGCCCTTTCCTTTTCCCGTTTATATCCCTTGACAATTCTCGCCATCAGCACCACCAGCTGAATCATCAAACACCCCATCAACACCTTGACCAGCATCGCCATCATCATCAGCATCATCATCATCTTCATCATTGTCAGCATAAGCACCAGCAGCATCAGCGGCATCATCATCATCAGCACCATCACCAGCATTCAACATAACGACCCTCACCATCATCAGCATCATCACCATTCATCATTTTCATCACCACCATCCTCCTCATCATCAACATCATCGTCATTAGTAGCATGGCGTCCTTTTTGTCGCCAATCACGCGCCTGAGCATCATGTGTGTGCGTTGGCGCTAATACCTGGCCCCCCCAATTGGCAACTCACTGATGGCCACAGCACGCTGATCAGGCACACAGAGGGCCACACCTGCGAGCACGCGGGGGCCCCGAGGGGCTGCACCAACGCGCAACAGCACTGGCCACATAAGGGCCAAACCAGCGGCACCACGCGGGGGCCCACACGGGGCCGCACCAACGCGGAGCCACCGAGCGCCTTCCCACCAACGGCAGGGGCAGGGGGGTCCAGTCCCAAGCCCGGCCCTGGGTCAACGCGGCTCCACAGGGCCAGGCCTCGGAGACTACCACCTCCACACTCCACCTTTCCCATTTTTTCCTGGCTAACCAGCCGCATGCAGCGAACTGGAGGAACGTACACCTACGCACCCGGCAGGCCCCAAGGCCCACCTTGCACTTGCAACTTACAAACGGGCAGCGAAACAACACACCTCCGCCCGACCCCAGAATGGTGAACTAGCCGCCTTGACAACAACACTCTTGAGTATATGGATGCGATCCAGTTCTTTAACGCAAAGGTGGCTTCCTGGTGCTTCGAGAGGGCGTCTGCGATATAGATTCGGGCTGTTCTAATGTTAGCCCAGCGCCCTCTCAGAGCGGCCCCAGTGATGCCCCCATGCATTCGATAGCGGCCCGCTACTCCACCTCTTCATAAGCTGCTCGGCTTGAACCCGCGCGCTCACAAACGCGAGTACTCGAAGGGGGCCATTGTACAGCTTGCGGAACTCAGGGGGCGCTCGGCCAACCCATTGGCCCCTTGCAGGAACTGCTGGAGGACCCGGGAGAGCCGCGTTACCAGGACTGCGCCACCGACGCCCACAATCTCATGCTGATTTAACCTTTGGCCAGACATAGTGGGACGAAGATTGATGAGAACACGTTTTCCTGTCTTGGCGAGCGCAACGCCACGCTTCCGAATCACCAAGACCCCGCCCGCACGCAGCACGCAAGGAGACGCAACTGCGACGGCGAGAGCAGAACGCGGGCGCCCCGCGTCGCACATTGCACCTGCGACCGCCAGCGTCGCCGCCTGAGTCAACGGCGGCGACCGCCCCAGCAATTCAAGCATGTCCCAAAAGGCCTTCAGGCGCCAAACTGACGGGAGACAGCGCCTGGCGCCTGCAATAAGATGCCACGCGGCTGCACGGGCGCATGCCGCCCAGCCCGTCGGCCCTCCCTCTCCAGAAGTGCTCTCTGCGAGTAGCTGGCCCGGCTGATCCGAAATCGCGACGTTCGGCTGAGACGCTAGGCCATGCGCCCATTCGAAGAATTATGCGGCGAATCCATTGCATTGCGTCATCACACGCTCGATTGGGATATTATTGAACAGCCTGCCCACTGCCGCTCGCGCCGCATGTCTACACCCCCCCGCGCCCTCTGCCAGGCGCGTCGGCGGGATCGCCCGCCGCGCGTCCACGCGAAGAAGGGCGCGCAAAACGTCGCGAGGCAGAGCGCACGAAGGCGACAAAGCATGGCACTCAGGCGGCGCGACGACGAGCGGCCCTTCGCAGCGACCGCCAGTCACTTGCGAGCCCACGAACAGGCATACCATCGCGCCGAGGGCTCGGGAGCGGCGCATCGCGCACCATCTGCAGCCCCAGCTCGTCGACGCGGCGCGAGCGATGGAACCGCGCGGCCACTGCGCGCATCCAGCACCAGCGGCGCTGGTCGACGCTGATCCGCGGCCAGGCGCCGCACTGATAGGGCAGCGCAATGTCCAGCCCCGCATCGCTGCCACGATGGTCAGCACGGCGGTGCATGTCGAGCATCAGCCTGATGCTGCATCAGGCCGTGCATGACCTCATCCGAGCCCCGTTCGCTCGGCGGCTGCGCCTCGGCACTGAACCTATGTATCGCGGGCATGTCGCAATCCAGGCGCGGCTGGTCCAGCGCGCGCGCATTGCGCCTCGCTGCATACTTGCAGCGGCGCCTCAACATGACGTTAGACATCCAGCGCCCACGCAAGGCCAGCATCTCGACGAGGCAGGAGCCTCGCTGGTCCAGCAGCCACGCCGCGAGCGCCCAGCGCGCTCAGAGCCTCTTGACTGGCGGCGCGGCACGGCCTGCGAGACCATCCACGCCCACCCCCATGCGCGGGGCGCGCGGGGAGCGGACGACACCCTCCTTGAGCGAGGTAGGCGCCGACGTCGCCTCGAGCGCTCGCCGCAGCGCGGCCTGGTGCTCAGAGAGCGTGCCCCGATGGCTCCCCCACTCGGACCTTGACGAAATCGGTCTCCTCAGGGTGGTCAACGCACATGCTCCTGCACCACCTCTGAGAGGGGCACTCGCGGACAGGGAAGGGCTGGTCTCGTCGCAGCTCTTGGCTTGCAGCCAGCCTCGCACTGGCCCGCGGGCCATCCGCGGCGATCTGCCCGCGCGCGCTGCGCCACTCCGACCGCCGACAACCATCTTACCGGGATGACCCTCACACAGACGCACAATTCCTCGCGCTCCGTCGGGCTGGTCCACCTCCGCCACGGCTTCGAGAGCACGAACCAACGCCACCACTGAGGCAGCAGCACGAACGGGCGGGAGCACTCACGGATGTCATCCCCCGAGAAGAGGGCCACCTCGTCGCCCATTAGCGCGGCCCGGGCGCACTCACCTGGCAGCGGCAGCTCGTCATTGACGCCCGTCACGAAGGTCTGCCCCGCACTCGTCGGCGCGAGGTTGGCGATCAGGCACCGATGGCAGCGGGGCCCCGCCGGCGCCCCCACGCTCTTGGCCTTGGCCACGCCAAAAACTCCGTTACCCAACCGCTTCCCGTGGATCAAGGGGAAGCGGGCCTCCTCGATCTCTGCCAGGACCCCGCGGCTCAGCATCTGCCTGGCGACGCAGCCCCACTCGTCGCCACCGCAGCACACCGTGGCTGGCCCCAACTTCGGCCGCCCCTCGAGCGACAGGATGCGAACTGCTCTTCGCGCTCGAGGGCGCGGTGCACAGCGTCGCCGCAGAGCCCCGCTGCCCCGGTTTTCCCGCAGCGCCCCGCGGGGGGAAGACCTGGCTCGATCTGGGCCCGCGTCAGCTTCTCGGGCATGGCCGCGACCCCTTCGCCGCGGCCAAAAAAGAAAACCTTAGCCACCTCCTTCCAGGAGATCCGCCGAAACACTGCCTCGCCCCCCTCGCGAAAGAGAAGGTGCACCGCTGTCTCCCCGAGCGCCGCGCCGCCCCCTGCCGGGCCGCCGCTGCACTGGGCGGGCGGAACGCAGGGAGGAGGGGGGGAGAGGAGGAGGCAGAGAGGAACGCGGGGCACCGTCTCGTCAAAACGAGGTCCAACACAGGACGGTTGGGAGACGTGGCCACGGCCCCCGCGCAAGTAGTTCGCGAGCAGCACCTGCAAGCGCGCCCAGGCCCCGACCCCGACACACCAACAGGAGGCGCGCTGCCTTCGCCACGACACCACACGACGCACTCGGGGTCGCTCGAGCGCCGGAACAGGGATTCGATGCGCTCGCCCACCTCGGGCAACCGCAGCGGCCGGACGTCTCGCCTCATCCTCGACTGCGTGGCGCGCAGCGTTGAACGGCTGCCTGGCCCGCCTGCCCACCCCCGTGTCCGCGTGCAGCAGCTGCCGCAGCGCTTGGGGGCCCATCTTGGCGATGTCCACATCCACGTTATGCAGGCCCCTCGGGGCCTCGCCCTGCATCCTCTTGTTAGCATCGAGCTTCGCCCCCAGGATGACAGGGGATGGCGCGCGCGTCGCCTGTCTACGCCATTCCAGAAGCCCTCCTGCCGCACGTAGCCGCCGCCCCCCGAAGGCTGGTGCCGCGGCAGCTGCTGCTGCTGCGCGCTGGCCTTCGGCGCGCCCGAACTGGCGCCCGACGCCGCGCCTGCTGCGGCCTGAGTCCGACTCCTCGGGGGCGGCGCAGAGGGTGATTCCGCCGACCTCGACCCGGTCTTGTCCTTCCCCGTCGGGCCCGCCAGGTGCGACCCATGCGCCTTCGGCTTCGCCGCGGCTTTCGATTTCGACGTCGACCCCGGCCCCGGAGCCTTTTCTTCTCTGCCCTCGCCCGCGCACTCCTCACCGGAAGCCTCATCCGCGCTCGGGGGCCCCCGTGGGGCCGGCCCCAGCAGGCGCGGAATCCACTCGGGCTGGCGGACCGCTTCCCGAGGCCCGATCGCTGGCCCCGTCGCCGCGCCCGCCCGACGGGCCACCTCGGGCCGGGCGGCCCCCCGCCCGAGGCCCCCGACACCCCAGTGGGCCTTCTCGCTCCTCCTGCCGCCTCCTCGATCTCCGCGACCTTGGACCTCTGGAGCTCCAGCTGTCCGACGAGCGTCTCCTCCGAGGGGGCTGCGAGACCGATCGAGCGCTTGGGCGCCAGCTCGCACTGCGCCG